GTGAGGGAAAATTCTCATTTCAAAAGAAAGCCTTTTTTGTTTTTGGTTGCGTTCTCTTCTCCTTATTTAAACCGCAAATTTCTCTCTATCTTCCTCCTCACATAGATTCTCCTTCCTTAACTAACAACAACAAACATAACCTCACATTTCTCCAATTTTTTCCCCTTTCTTTTTCCTCAATCGGGTGCAGATGGCGACGTCGGAGACCAATGGTTTTCCGTTCTCCGTAGTATCTATCGTCGAAGATGTTCTTCAACAGCATAGTACCCGATCAAGCGACGTTGGGTTGGTTTCTCGGAAAGTCGAGGAATCTTGTGAGTTTCTCCATCTTTCATTCTTAGATTCGCTTCGTTTTGATCCTTGATCGTTTGATTTCGCTTTGGAATTTTGCGATTTCTGATTGAGATATAAAGATTGTCTGGTGAATTTCGCTTGTTAAACGATGAAATTGCCTTTGTTTTAGAGATCATTGGTTTATCAAAATTTCTCAATTGCTATGTAGCTCTAAGAAGATACGAAGCTGCGGGATGGCTTAGAGAAATGGTTGGATTTTCMTGTGGTAGAGATTTTCCAGGAGAACCTTCTGAAGAAGATTTTAGGCTTGGATTGCGAAGTGGGATCGTCCTTTGTAATGTTCTTAACAAAGTTAATCCTGGGTCAGTGCCAAAGGTAGGTTACTCTCTACTTTCTGAGGCTTGTTCTTGGTTTTACATAGCCAAACACTATAATATGGGGATATAGATGATGGATTGCTCTACTAGGGATACATATATTGATTTATGTGGAGGATTTAACATCTTCTTACAGGTTGTTGAAGCGCCCGATGATGTTGCTGATGGAGCTGCACTCTCTGCTTTCCAGTACTTTGAAAACATTAGGAACTTTTTAGTCGCCATAGAGGAAATGGGTTTGCCATCATTTGAAGCTTCGGATATGGAGAAGGTAGCAAAAGGGGAAGACTTAAAGAAGATACAGAAGTGTAGCTTTTCCAAAATTGATAATATGTTGAACATGTATTTTTCAGGGAGGCAAGTCTGTAAGGATAGTGAACTGCATTCTTGCTCTTAAATCTTACAGTGAGTGGAAACTGAAAGGTGGATTGGGTCCCTGGAGGTATGGAGTGAACATGAAAAACAATTTTGGATTGAGGAAACCATTTCTCAGAAAAAATTCAGAGCCGTTCATGAGTTCTGTATCAAGAACCGAGTCTAGAGATACCACATTTGATCAATCTCTGTGTTCTGATGTTGGGCAAGATCTTAGTGAAAAAGTAAGTGAAATCATTCTTTATAGTGGAAATGTTTGTTTCTATGTCCATTGGTTGTGGTTGTTGATAAGAGTATTTTTGTTTTACCTTGCAGGGAGATTCCAGATCACTTAACGCGCTTGTTCGCTCATTTATTGCAGACAGAAAGAATGAAGATATTCCAAGTGTAAGAATTCTGCTTTCTAGTTTCTAGTTTATTACCATTGTCTTGCTGAATGAAGCTTTCTTCTTGGCATTGATCTGTTTAATCTCTTAGGGGATATTAAAAAACTGATGTCCATCTATCGCAAATTCTTATTGAGAAATCTGATCACTTATCCTACTTCATTCTGTTCAGGTTGTAGAGTCTGTGTTGAACAAAGTTATGGAAGAAGTCCAGCAGCGCTTATCAATCCACAATGAAATGGTGAGGGCAAGTGAAGTCAATTACGAGGTCATTCTCTTTTGAGTGAAGCAGTACAGTCAGTCCGAGGTTTTGATCTGGCTCATTGATGTTATGAAACTGGCTTTCAATTTTTTCAGATGAAATCAAGTGCAAAGTCTATTCCAGAAGATGATTCATCCTGCGAGACAGTGGTGCGGTCTCAGCAGTGTGACGTAAGACAACATGAGGAAGCAGAAGAAAATAGTCCATCACAGGTCATAGAAGAAAAGTTCCAGAGGACAAATTATGAAGAACAGGAGATTCTTCTGAATCAACAAAAACACATCCAGGTAACTTCCATTGTGTTGCAACTTTATGGCGTTGGATGATCTAACACCTTATTATGAAACTGGTTACTATTTCAATCTTCCATTCACAGTCTAGAAATTTGAACGAATTGGAACTTTGTTTTATTGCCTACAGGAGTTGAAGAAAACCCTAAACACTACAAAAGCGGGAATGCAATTACTGCAGATGAAGTATCAAGAAGATTTCTTTCACCTAGGTGTCAACTCAGACCATTTTCGTGTTATGGTCCTTGTTCTGTTCTCAATGTTTAATCAGTGGAAATATAATATGTCATCGTTTTGAGGTTTGTCACACAGGCAAGCATTTAAATGGTTTAGCTTATGCGGCTACGGGTTACAAAAGAGTTCTTGAAGAAAACCGCAAATTGTACAATCTAGTGCAGGACCTAAAAGGTAAGTTTACAGAAAAAATTGATGTGTCAGTCATACTTGGAGGATCTTGAATCACTAAGGCAGATCCTATAATCCTTTTATCTGCGTAAAGACCTCACACATGGTAATGTTTAGGAAACATACGGGTGTACTGTCGGGTTAGACCCTTCTTGCCGGGGCAACCAATTTCTTCGAGTACCGTGGAACACATAGAAGAAGGGACTATCACAATCAAAGTGCCATCAAAGTATGGCAAAGAAGGACGGAAACCATTTATGTTTAACAAAGTCTTTGGTCCTTCTGCAACACAAGGTTATAGAAGGCTTTGATATTTAGTCCCTATAATGTTTATATAACTCTTATCTGTGAATAACATTTGGCAATGAATCCCTTGTACTTCAGAGGAAGTGTTTTCAGACATGCAGCCTTTGGTACGTTCGGTTCTTGATGGCTACAATGTCTGCATCTTTGCTTACGGTCAAACCGGGTCCGGGAAAACTTTTACAATGGTAATAACTGCTACTACTGTTGTTTTGCAATCTTTTGTAGATGATTAGATTGTTATTCGTTTAATATAATATGTTTTTCTTAATCTTTATACAACATCAAGTTCCTAATTTGCCTAACTACTCTAGTCAGGGCCTACGGAACTGACTGAAGAAAGTCTAGGTGTGAACTACAGGGCACTGGCAGATCTGTTTCTTCTATCAAACCAAAGAAAAGACACAACCAGCTATGAAATCTCGGTTCAGATGCTTGAAATTTACAACGAGCAAGTCAGAGATCTACTTGCCACAGATGGCCAAATTAAAAGATATCCTTTCCACTAATAGAAGTTTTACTGTGTCTTCAACTTGTGCGAACTCTTAGATACTTTGGTTTTGTTTGATCCTTAACTCTTGGTTACGTTAGAAATCAGAAACAATTCTCACAATGGAATCAATGTTCCGGAAGCAAGTCTAGTGCCTGTCTCTTCGACCGCTGACGTTATTCAGCTGATGGATCTGGGACAAACGAACCGTGCAGTGAGCTCTACGGCCATGAATGACAGAAGTAGTCGATCTCACAGGTCGGTTTCTTCTTCTCTTCTTTCATGAGTACTCTGTTGCATAACTCGCACTAACCTCAATTTTTCATTTATCTGGCAGCTGTGTTACTGTTCATGTTCAAGGCAGAGACCTCACGTCTGGGAGTATCCTCCATGGCTCTATGCATCTGGTTGATCTTGCAGGAAGCGAGAGAGTTGACAAGTCTGAGGTGACTGGAGACAGGCTGAAAGAGGCTCAGCACATCAACAAGTCCCTCTCGGCTCTTGGGGATGTTATCTCTTCGCTTTCCCAGAAGACTTCTCATGTGCCTTACAGAAACAGTAAACTAACCCAGCTGCTGCAGGACTCCCTCGGTGAAACTCTCAGAACCCTCATAGTCGTTGCATTTTTGTATATACTCGCACTCGAATCTTATAGAAGCATATTTGTTCAACTTCTGTTTGTACGTTTTCAGGAGGATCAGCCAAGACGCTTATGTTCGTCCACATTAGTCCGGAAGCTGAAACTCTTGGAGAAACTATAAGCACTCTGAAGTTTGCTGAGCGAGTGGGAAGTGTTGAGCTAGGCGCTGCTCGTGTGAGCAAAGATAATTCAGAGGTCAAGGAGCTTAAAGAACAGGTTTTTAAACCATACACTATGACCAGAATTTGGTTGTCCTGCCTACAGATTTACTGTTTTCGTCCATTCTCGCCATAAGTAGTACCCTATCACTAATCTGAGCATGTTCTCGAGCTTTTCAGATTGCTAATCTTAAAATGGCTCTAGTGAGGAAAGGAAATGGTAATGACGTACAACCAACCCCTCCACCAATCAACCGTGAGAGAATATCAAGAAGAAGATCACTTGAAACTCCTACTATTCGACCCAAATTTCCTACCATGGGAAATGGACCAAGCAACCTTAGGCCCCAGATTATGGATCTGAGTGGACCAGGGGTATGCTTTGCTCTCATTTTAGGAGCAACCAAAGTTGCTCGCTCAATTAAACTTATTAGGATTTACAAATCTTGTGTCATTTGTGTGTATATGTAAATATATGCAGGCTTATAGCGATACTGCATTTTCAAGAAGACACAGCTTAGATATCCATGAGCTAATGAAATCCTCTTCTCCATCTTGGCCGAGGCAATCGCTGAATGCAAAGGACGAGGATAGAGAATCTAAGTCAGGGGAGTGGATCGATAAGCACGAAGAATCAATTCTAGACGAGAATACAATTTTACCAGAGAAATTCTACCAGTCAATGACTCCACAACAGCAATCACTACTGTATGCAACTCACATTGCATCAACTAAAAGTTTTCTGCTTTGCATCTATCTTCTTATTCTTGATCTCTACTGTCTTTCAAATTGACAGGAATGGTGGGAAACAAGATTTCGAAGTGCAGAGTATTACAGATAACGAATCTGATGAAGGAGCACCGAGCGATTGTTCAGATCCTGATTTGATGTGGCGATTGAACGTTCAAGTGAATGTGCCCAAAGTTTCTAATATCCAAAACTCAGTAAACCCCAAACAAAAGAAAATTGAACCCAGAACTGCTAAACTCGCAGAAACCAGGTAATGTATACATTCATAAATACTTTTTCTGAGTGTTTGGAACAGTTTATATTGATGGAAATCGGATCTTTTTGTCCTTTTTTTTTCTTGGGCAGAAGTTTAATTCCGTCGCTGATCCCAGCACCAAGCAAGAGACCTCCTAACACCGTGAGTTCACAGCCGCAGAGACCAACCAGAGATGGAAAACGCAGACTGAGTCTAGGCAAGTGAAGAGGTTTCTCACCAGTTTTGTAAAGAAGATTAGTTTATGTATATTGTGAGAAG